TCTCTGAGGTAGGAGGACCCCCCAAGGAGTGGCTGCATGTGTACCTGTTAGAACTGACCAAACTGGACACCCGTACTCTCTGCAGAGCTCCCTGCAGAGGCACCTGCCTACAGAGGGACCTCCTGGCCCAGGCAGGAGCCAGCAAGCAAGGCAGCAGACACTGCTGCTGAGCGGTGGAGCCAGACTGCCACAGTGTGTGCTCCGAGGAGCGATGGCGGGGACCGAGCTGGACAAGGCAGGGGAGCCCAGAGGAGGGGTCTTTTTAGAACTGTGTAGGCCTTCCTAAGCTCCTAGGTGAAGGTTAGGAGCAGGGTGGGGGGCAATTTTATCAACTTTGAACATCCTGCTTGTCTCGGTGTAGGGCGCTTGAGTTGACCCTAAATGAATTTGGGAAAACAAAGAAAACCACAGGCATCCTGAGTGTAACTCTACCTATCATAGTAAAAGACTCTTGACTTAGAGAGTACAGCAAAAAATGGCCTTAATGACAAAGTGCTCATGCTAAGAAATAACCAGAATTTGATTCATCATCTTATCCTCATTTTAGAACAAAAAATTCTCATTAGAGAAACTAAATACATTTCATTCTAGAAGGAAATATACCTAATGTGAACCCTTCACTTGCATGTGTGCACCCCAAGCCAAAGCCCTGAAGGTTCTAGAACAACAGGCTGAGGGGCAATGGTTCAGTGTGAGCAGGGTGCCTACTTCCTTCCTTGGGTTCCTTGCACAAAGACAAATCCACATGTATCAGATGTGCATATTTCCAAGAGCTGCTTGCCAGCAACCTCCCAAGTCAGTTCTTAAGGGTCACCAAAATTTGTTTTACACAAACTAAATTTGGTCCACTGCTAGAGTTACCAGAAGCTCTGATTCGGTGCTTTTCTAAGTCTAGCTGCCAAGACTCCTGGGCAACTCCTTCCCCAGCTGAGCCACAGAGCATCTTGTGGTCTGAGCAACTGATCAGAATCCCAGCGGTCTTCTGCCTTGTGGTCCCTTATGAATTGTCCATACCACTATTGCTAAAGTAGGTGGGCCCATAACAGAGATTTGCTTCTCATTGAGTGACACGTCATTGATGTCACAGAATCCTTTTGCCTTGAAAAGCAGGAGAGGCTAGGTAGGCTTCTTTGCTCTGCCTGAGTAACCAAAACAGTTTATTTCAAGTCTAAGACGTCATTTTCTCAGTAGGATATGGTGTCTGGTGCATGCCATGGTCAAAACTCACCAACTGTGCACTTACAAGCTACACCTTTTATGGAATGTAAATGATACCTCAGTTAAAAAAACAAACTAGTAACAACAGGCAGAGGAGGCCAGAGGAGAAGACAAGGGCTATTAAGAGTGATTGGTCTTCATGGGAAAAAAGGTGAGACTTAAGAACAGGGAAGAAGTCCAGCCAAGAATGCATCATCTCAATGTAATAACAAGGACACATCAAACAAGCCTCAGATAAGGAAAGTTCTGTTAACAAGAAAGGGAGTGGTGTGGTCTTGAAAAGTGGCAGTGTCATAAAAAAAAAACCCAAGAAAGACTGTGGAAATGCTCCAAATGAAAGGAAGCTAAAGAGACCTGACAACTAAATATAATACATGATAGACTGGATCCTGTCCTGGGGGTTGGGGAGGAACACTCTAAAGGTCAGCACGAGATCACAGGAAGGTATGAGCATAGACAGTACATTAGATACAAGTATTGTCCATGTAGATTATGAACCCGGCTGTTGTCCCACAGTATGTAGAATGGTATCCCGAGTCTTAGGAAACACAGACTGAAGTATTTAGGGGTAAAGGACCATTTTGTATGTAACTCACCCTGAAATGGGTCAGAGAATAAAATTATGTATGCATGTGTGTGCAAAAGAATTTCCTTATTGCTTATTTTGGGAGAAAAAAATGAAAGTACAGATTTGGTTCTGGTTTGGGTCTTGATGTCAAGGCTGGTTCTCGTTTGGCCAAGTGTTTTTCCAATTTTATCAGATTCTCTCCTTCTATCAGTAACTCCTGAAAGCCACATTGTACCCACAGCTGATTCGTGAAAACCCTGACTCCAAGTCAGGTCACTGTTACCTGGAGATGAGCATGGCCCAGGCAAAGTTTAGGCACTGGGACAAAGGCATCTGTTCAGTTTAATTGCACACACGTGTTTGAGTGAAAAGTGAGGGGGCGGAGTGGGAGAAGAGGGGGAGGGAGGGAGAGAGCATACAAACCATAAAAAAAAATAAGGTAAAATGTTAACAATAGGTGAATCTGGGTAAAGGTGTTCTGTGTACAGTTTTCCTTTTTTGTACTTTTTTTTTTTTTGCAAATTTGAAATTATTTCCAAATAAAAAGTTTCTTTAAATATATTGGGGTTGAGGGAGCTGGAAGGAGTTCCAAGGGCTTCACAGTATCAACTTGTGTCCAGAAGGCCTTGGCCACCAGTTCAGACTCATGTCAGTATTCCAGGTCACCATGACAATTCTTTTGCTGTAATAATTGTAAATGGATCATTTTCAAGCAATAAAAGCTAGATCACTTATGTTACAACCCTGGGAGAATGTGAGAGAATTTCCTTATTGATTATCCTGAAAAGAAAAGGAAAAAAGTACAGGTTTTTTGTTGACAAAGTCAGTTGGAGGTTAGACAAGTTTTTTTTTCAACATCTGTCTCCCACACAAGCAGAATGTTATCAGGACATTCTCTTTCAATCAGTAACTTCTGAAAGCTACATCATACCCACAGTTGATTCATGAAAACCTTGACTCCTGGGACAGATCACTGTTACTTCGACATGAGCATGGCCCAGGCAAAGTTTATATGTTGGGACAATTAACATCTATGTGGGCTAATGTCAGAATTTCCCAGGATGACCCTGGTGGTATCATAGTGGATTTGGGAGAGAAAGGGGTGTTCAGTGACCTCTCAGTGGATTCTCAAAGACCACAGTGTCTGATCTTGCTCTGAGCTCAGCGGGCCATGTGCCCCTAAAATTGGCCACCACTCCTGCTCACTCCCTGCTATAGACTATAGAATGAGACTCAGCCTCCTGCCCACGCTGTAGTTGGCCTAATGTACGTGACCAGGATGCCTCTGTTCCCCCAACATAGAAAGAAAATACGGGATTAGTTTATTCAAGCATACTTTCCAGGCAAATAGGAACCTCCCCCTGGACCTCGCCTACTTCTGGGTTGAGTGAAAAGGACAGGTTGTACTTTACTCCTAAATCTCCGGTTTGGGCTGTGGCATCATGAAGCTGAGTATTTTTTCCTAATCTTCATCTGATAAAGATGGGGCTCTGTAGGGGGCTTGGATGTTCACCTATATAGCAAAAGTGATCTGTCTCTTAGCCAGCATGTGTAAAACCCCATTGAGAGGGTGATTACAGGGCATTAAACCCAGGTGGCAAAATACGCATGTGGTCACAGGCAAGCTTCATTCTGTTTCTGTCCTGGCCATGTCATGTTAGTTCTTCAAGAAGGGAAAGTTGAGAACATGAGTCCGCTTTATCTGCACTGGGACTAGGAGGTCTCTCTGGCCATGAGTCAAAGCTGTGCTAAAAGGTCCGTAGCAGGGGCCTCCCTGGTGGCGCAATGGTTGAGATTCCGCCTGCCGATGCAGGGGACACGGGTTCGTGCCCTGGTCCGGGAGGATCCCACATGCCGCGGAGTGGCTGGGCCCGTGAGCCATGGCCGCTGAGCCTGTGCGTCTGGAGCCTGTGCTCTGCAACGGGAGAGGCTGCAGCAGTGAGAGGCCTGCGTACCGCAATAAATAAATAAATAAAAGGTCCGTAGCAGAGTAGACAGGCATGAGGCAGGGAGATGGAAGAAGCCCGATGGAAGAATTAGAGGGACAGACAGAGTCACTACTTGCTGTCTACACACGTCCTGTAAAGAAGCTACTGATATAACAACTGATGATCTGCCAGCAGAGACCCCAGAGGTCAGCTAAGGAGACAGCACCCTGTGCCCCTGGACTTTGAGGGCCAATGGCACCAGTACTGCCCTACAGCTGTTTCAGGGCACAGCCTGGCCAGGGCTGGAGAGAGTCAGTGAGAACATGTCCAGCCCTCCAGCCAGTGCATCCTGCACCCAACTCACACCAGTCCACTTGGTCTCAGTAATAATCTGGTGATAACATTGCGCCCCTACAGTGTTCCTAGCGCCATGCTGAGCTCTTTATAGGTATTACCTTGTTGATACTCACAACAGCCTGTTCTCTTTTTTATTTAAAAAATACAATTTTCCAACTTTATTGAGACACAGTTGACATATAGCCTTGTGTAAGTTTAGGGTGCACAATGTGATGATTTGGTACATGTATGTATAGTGAAACGATTACCAAGATGAGGTCAGTTTACACATCCATCACCTCGCATAGTTACCATTTTGTGTGTGTATGTGGTGAGAATGTTTAAGACCTGCTCTCTTAGCAACTTTCAAGTATACAATACGGTATTGGCCTGTCCCCTTTTCAAAGGTAAGGAAACAAAGGCTAAACAGGTGCCTACCAAGGTCAGAAAGTTGGTAAGCAGGGCCAGGATTTGGAACCAGGACAGTCTGCGTCCAAATCTCATACACTTTTTACCACACTATGCATGAGTACACACACACATACACACACACACACACACACACACACACAAAGGGTGTTGGATTTTCCAGCCTCTGCTTCAAGAAGGAGCTTGGTATGCCTCAGCATATTTGATCCAAGGCATCGTGCAGTCACATTTACTTAAAAAGACATAGTGATGGTTGACCGAGAACCTCTGGGCATTCTAAGGCAACAGGTGCTTTATCACCTGGCTGGGATTTTGTCCAGTCTGGCTGAACATGCTGGCAGGAGCTCCCTGCTTGGACTTCAGAATACTCATTTGAGTTGCCAAGACGGTCAGAAGTTTTGGTAAAAATCAATTGGTGACGTGAGTGGGAACTGTCAATGGGCTGGGCTGACTCCAATACCAGACAGTGGTCATTCTCTTGCCCCCAGGTCACTTGCTATCTTTTTGCACTGTCTTTGCAGCCAACCTCGGTTTGAAGCCCAGGGTGGCAGCTCTTGGGGAGCAGCCAGCCTACCAGGGGCCTGTGCATTGCATCATAACCATCGTGCGGACTGAAGGCCTGGCAGGGCTGTACCGGGGCGCCAGTGCCATGCTGCTGCGGGACGTCCCGGGCTACTGCCTCTACTTCATCCCTTATCTGTTCCTGAGTGACTGGATCACGCCCGAGGCCCACACAGGCCCCAGCCCCTGTGCTGTGTGGCTGGCGGGAGGCATGGCAGGTAAGGGCGGCATGGCTGATCCCTGCCCCCGTGCTGACCATGGCAGCAAGACAGCTGGGGAGCCGACCATACCCTTCTCAGCCCTGGGGAAGGGCAGGGTTCATCCAGCCACTCATCCAACAATTCTTTGTTAAGTACCTGCTATGGCCAGACCTAGCCAGGCAGACAAAGGGCTAGGAATGGGGAATGGTCCCCCCTCTTTCTCCCATCCCCTTCTCTCTGAGTCCCTATTTGGACTCTTACAGCTTTCAGCTGGAAGGTATATTTTGAGCACTTACTCTGTGTCAGGTATCACTGAGCTTTGAAAAGAAACTCTGTTGTCATGGCTCACCTTTTTTGAATACTGGCACCCTGCAAACCTTTCCAATGTGAGATTTTCATTGGCCCCAGAAGGTAGGAATAAGTCTCCCTATTTTTCAGGTGAGAAAACAGGTTCAGCGTGACCAACTCAAGGTCACACAGCTAATGCAGACAGTATAGTAGGGACTCTGCAGTCAGAAAGATCCAAGTTCAAATCCACACTTAGTCATTTTGTGACCATGGACTGGTTACTTAACCTCCTTACTCAGAACCCACGCTGCATGCCCATTTCACCTTGGGTAAAAGTCAATGACCTTGCAATGGTTTCAAGACCATCAGCATTCCAGCTGCCTGTTACCCTTCCGCACTCATTTTTTTTGCTACCGTCCCCTTACTTTGCTCTGCTCCAGCCACGCTGGTCTCTTTCCTGAAACTTGACTGTGCCTGGCTCTCTCCCCACCACAGGGCCTTTGCATTTGCTATTCCCACTGCTTGGACTTAGCAATGCAGTAGGTCACCAGGGACTTTGACAAGACCCATTTTGATGAAGAGAAGGGTGTGAAAACCTGATTGAAGTGGGATCAAGAGAGAATGGGATGAAAGAAACTGGAGAGCCCAAGGACAAAAAACACTTCTGAGAGATTTGAATGTGCTGTATCGGGAGAGAGAGAAACACAGCTGTAGTCAGAGAGGGGTATGGAAGTCAAGAGAGGATTGCTTCTCAAGAAGGCGGATAACTGATGAGAACGTACTGTATAGCTCAGGGAACTCTATCTGATGCACGGTGGTAATCTAAATGTGAGGGAAGTCCAAAAGGGAGGGGATGTCTGTATGTGTATGGCTGATTCATTTTGTTCTGCAGTGGAGGCTAACACAACCTTGTAAAGCAACCAAACTCCAATTAAAAAAAAAAAAGGCAGATAACATGGTATGTTTGATGCTGATGGGAAGGATCCACTGGACAGAAGAAAATTGTCATCCCTCCTCCTCATTATCTAATCAGCTGTGCTTGAAACTTAGGAAACACATAACAGAGCCCACATCTTAGCCACCAGACCCCAGTGTTCCCATTCCCTGCCTTGTGCCTGAGGCCTGGCCTGTGCCAGCTCCCAGTAAGTGCTCAGTAAGTACTTCTTGACTGAGAACGCAGACAGGCCCCGGCTGCTCTCATTTCTGGTGAGAGCAGATGCGTGTAGCCTGGCAGTCAAACCTGGTTTTGTAATACCCTCGCCCATGGGCTGAGAACAGGGGAGTGTGCCAGGGCAGCACCTGGGCTGACTCCAGGGGAAAAGCGGCCCCATTTATCCTGGAAGAAGGCAGGAGGGACGAGAGGTCCAGAGGGCTCCCAGAGGACCAAGGGCAGGAGGCTGGGATGGGCAGGGGGCTGGGGACAGGCTAAGGCCTCTTTTGGGAGCTGCTGGGCCGCAGTTACAAAACCTTGCAAACCAGCTGCCTTGGACTTTGGCATTGGTTTGTTTCTCTCTCCCCATCAAAGAATGTGCCAATTTCTCTGTTTATACAATAACCTGGCGTTGTTTTCTTAGAGTCCGTTAAAGTCACAAAGTACTCAAACCAGGACACCTGAACTTATCCAATGAAGATGACCCAGCGGCCCATGGTCCTAAGGCTTCTATTCCACATCACTGGAAAAGATAAGAGCTTTTTAAAGACCTGACCCTGCTCTTCTCTGCAATCCCTAAGCTGACCCTTCCTTGGCAAGCAGGCTATGGGAAAGTGTTTGTTTAGCGTCTTCTTCCTGTTCAGAGTAAATCCTGCCTCTGGGGAGCTGCCAGCCTTCAGCCTCAGGCCTCACCCTGGTCTCCCTCCCCTGTGCCCGGAAAGTACTATGGGGCCTGTTCCTGTTCCTCCAATAGAAGCTGCTAATAAATCCTTCTGCTTAGGAAGCACTAGCGATGGACCTGGCCCTGTGCTACATGCTTCACATGCCTCAGGATATTTGTCCTCGTAGCAGCCCCACGAAGATAGGTGCTGCTGGCCCATTTTACAGAAGACAAACTCAAGGCCTAGAGGTGGCAGGAGACTTCTGCAAAGTCCCACAGCCAGTGGCGAGGGAGGATCAAGAACCCCCTTCATAGGTCCTGACCTTGAGCTGTTTCCACGTCCCCCAGCAGCATATGAAGCCTCTGAATGGTGGAAATCTGCAGGGAGCCGGGTCCCCTCCAGACCCCAACCAGCCAGCCCCTGATACCTATTTGTCTCTCTCTTAACAGGAGCAATTTCTTGGGGGACAGCAACTCCTATGGATGTCGTGAAGAGTCGACTGCAAGCTGACGGGGTTTATATAAACAAATACAAAGGTGTCCTGGACTGTATCTCCCAGAGTTACCAGAAGGAAGGTCTTAAAGTAAGCCCCACAGCAGTCATGCAGGGTCAGTGTCAGTCCCTGGAAGGTAGGGTCAGAGATTTTGGAAGATGTGAGACTACAGAGAAGAGAATCAGGAAAACGAGGTGCTGGCTTTTAAATTATGAAGCACTTGTTTCATCCAGTCCTTGCCCCGGCCTGGAGGAGGAAGTGGGTGTGCACCCAGCTGATGGGTTCAGAGAGGACCGGTAACCTACCTGAGGTCACACAGCTGGTATGTGGCAGAGCCGGGGTCTGGACCCACATCTGTGTTACCGAAGCTGGCCTCCTCATCCAGAAAGGCGAGGAGCTCCTTCCTCACTCCCTGCTTAGCACCTCAGCCTCACCCCTCCTATAAGTGGGAATTCCCAGCACCACCTCAATCATCACATCTTGCAGGTTCCAATTCCCTGATCTGTCTTCTGCTTTCCACCCCACACAAGTCCAGACCCCATCACCTCTGGTCTCGGCTACTGAGGCAGCCTCCAGCCTGGCCTTGTCTTCCTTCTCCTGAACCTAAAGGGCTTATCCTAAACCCAAGCCTCTACTTGCCTCTAAACTATCTCAGAATGAAGATCAGTTTTCCACATCTAGTGTCCAAAGTTATAAACATCCCCATCTTTCTTGCCTCCCACTATACCCCCTAGTACCCTCATGCTTGCTCTTCCTTGAATGGGCCCCTGGCTTTCTTGGCATGCCTCTTAGTCAGCAGACTTAAGTGCAAAGCCAGGTCTGGCTACTTGTGAACTGGGGGAATCCAGGCAAGCTTCCCCTCTCTGGGCCTCAATTTCTCCAATGATAATCACCCCTACCATGAGCAGCAGAGATATTTGTAGGTTAAATTAAATTAGGCATATAAAAAGTGCTCAGTTTAATGTATAACACATAGAGAACATTTAGAAAGAGTCATCTGTTTATCATTAGCATTAGTATTCGTAGTTTTATTAGTGTTAATGTTACTATTGACCTATGAGGCCTTGCCTCATCCCAAGCCCTCCAATCCTTACTAACTGCCACTCCAGTGTGTCCAAACTTCTGCTTTTTCGCTCCAATGGAGTGCCAGAGCTTGTCCTCTGGAAAACTGGACTTCCACAAAGGCTCTCTCATCTGTGTGTGACCTCCCAAGTCAGTGTTCTCCAGCTGCTCCTGGACTACAGCCAAGAGTGGCTGGAGCCAATTCACAGGCTACTGCAGGCTTCGCTGCCAGTACTGAGGTCTGTCTGCCTATTAGCTGATGCACAGGTGGGAAAGACTCCTCTCGGGTCCCTTGGTGTATGGTGCTGGATCCCACAACTCCCACAGAGGCACTTTCGTTCATGGATGGATGCTGAATTTTTGTTGTTGAACTGAGGACAAAATAAGGGACATTTGGGGCTGCCATGATGCTAGTGTCACTCTCCCCATGTATTTACCTGTTGTGAGATTTTTACAATATCTCTTCCTACAGCTGCAAGTTACTGTCTAGTGATTTTATTTCAGCCTGCAGGGCTCTCTTGAGAATTTCTTACCGGGTAGATCTAGTGGTAATGAACTCCTTCAGCTTTTGTTTATCTGGGAATGTCTTGATTTCTCTCTCACTCTTGAAGCATAGTTTTTCTGGATATAGAATCCTTTCTTGACAGTTTTGTTCTTTTTCTTTCAGCACTTTGGTTATATTCGCCCATTGCCTTCTGGCTGCTAAAGTTTCTGATGAGTAATCTGCTGAAAGTCTTACAGAGGATACTTTTTATCTGCTTTCAAGATTCTCTCTTTGTCTTTCAAAAGTTTATTATAATGTGTCTTCTTGTAGGTCTCTTTGAATTCATCTTGCTTGGAGTTCATTGAGCTTCTTTGATGTTTATATTCATGTCTTTCATCATATTTGGGAAGTTTTTGGCCCTATTACTTCATATATTCTCTCTCTCTCTCTCTCTCTCTCTCTCTGTCTTCTCCTTGGACTCCCACAATGAATATGTTGCTCTGTTTGATAGTTTCCCACAAGTCCCTTAGGCTCTGTTTACTTTTCTTCAATGTTATTTCTTTCTGTCTCTCAGACCCAATAATTTCTCTCGTCCTATCTTTAAGTTTGCTGATTCTTTCCTCTGCCTGTTCAAATAAACCTTTGAATCATTCTAGTAAATTTTTCATTTCAGTTATTCATTCATTCATTCAGTGCTTTTCAGCTCCAGAATTTGTTTGCTTTCTCTCTGGGTTTTCTATTTCTTTATTGATATTTCTATTTTGTTCACATATCATTTTCTTGACTCTCTTCACATCTTTCTTTAGTTCTTCAAGCATCTTCAAGAAGGATATTTTAAAGTCTTTGTCAAGTAGATATGCTATCAGGTCTTTTTCAGGGACATTTTATTTTGATTTTTTTTCTTTGAGTGGACCACACTTTCCTGTTTCTTATATGCCTTGTGATTTTTTATTGAAAACTAGACATTTGAATCTAATAATGTGGTAACTCTAGAAATCCAATTCTCCCTCTTCCCCAGGGTGTGGTGGGTTTTGTTATTATTTTTGATTGCTGTAGACTATCTCTGTGCCAGTGATCAATCTGAGGTGTAAACTTAAGGTTTTCTCAGTGTTTTTCTGAGCCTGTGCCTTTCGCTGGGCATACGCAGTCACTTTCTAATTTTCCTCATACATGCAGTTGCTTTTGAATGTCCTAGTCTTTAATGTCTGGCTCCCAAAAGAGGAAAAATAGAGAAATGAAGAGAAGGGAAAGGGGCACCATCCCTTTAAACTCCCTGGAAGTCACTTCAGCCAGTGAACAAGAGAGTTGCAAGATGGAGGGGGAGGTTAAAGAAGAATGACTGCCCTCCTCTTTGCACCTCATGATCAGAAACAGCCATCAGTGACCAGAACACAGATGTCCAGTATTTGGAGGACAAGGTTCTCATTGCCCACCCTGGTTCCCACAAGCTGTGTGCAGGTTACTCCAGGAACATGTGCATAGATGCCTGCCAAAGGGCTTGGGATGGGGGATGGGTAGCTGCTACTGTGCTAAATGCTGACATTGACTGAAATTAACCACTGCCCAAACCCTCTCCTGGAAGTTGGAAGCCTTCAGTAAACTCCAGAGTTCTAAAGTAGTTACATCAGACAAATTCTGTCTGTGTAATAGTTATCTAGGTGAGGAGACAGAGTCCTGGTATTTTCTACTCTGCCATGTTCCTAGAATTCTCACCTCAGTTGTTTTTTTTTTTTCTTTTCCAGTTTTATTGAGATATAATGGACATACAGCACTATAGATGTTTAAGGTGTACAGCATAATGATTTGACTTACATATATCATGAAATGATGACCACAATAAATTTAGTGAACATCTATCACCTCATATAGATACAACTTAAAGAAATAGAAAAATACTTTTTTCCTTGTGATGAGAACTCAGGATCTACTCTCTTAACCACTTTCATACATAATGTACAGCAGTGTTCATTATATTTATCATGTTGTACATTACATGTTGTACCTCCCCTCCCACCACCCCTCACTTCTGGTAACCACAAATCTGATCTCTTTTTCTCTGTTTGTTTGTTTTAGAAGTATAATTGACCTACAACACTTTGTTAGTTCCTGGTACACAACACAGTGATTTGATGTTCCTATGCATTTCAAAATGATCACCATGATAAGTCTAATTACCGTCTGTCACTATACAAAGATATTACATAATTATTGACTATATTCCTCACACAGTACATTTCATACCCATTACTCATTTAGTTTGTAACTGCAAGTTTGTACCTGTTAATTTCCCTCACCTATTTGTCTCCTCCTCAACATCCTTCCCCTTTGGCAACAACCTGTTTGTTCTCTGTATCTATGACTCTGTTTCTGGTTAGTTATATTTGTTCATTTCTTTTGTTTTTTAGACTCCACATATAAGTGAAATCATACAGTATTTGTCTTTCTCTGACTTATTCCACTTAGCATAATACCTTCTAGGTCCATCCATGTTTTCACAAATGTCAATATTTAATTCAGTCTTGGCTATTGTAAATAATGCTGCAATGAACATAGGAGTGCATGTATCTTTTCTAATTAGTGTTTTTATTTTCTTTAGGTAAATACCCAGGAGTGGAATTGCTGGATTGTATGGTAGTTCTATTTTTAATTTCTTTTGAGGAACCTCCATACTATTTTCCATAGTGCTGCACCAATTTACATTCCCACCAACAGTGTGCAAGGGTTCCCTTTTCTCCACATCCTCACCAACACATGTTATTTCTTGTCTTTTTGATAATAGCCATTCTGACTGGGGTGAGGTGCTATCTCATTGTGGTTTTGATTTGCATTTCCCTGATGATTAGTGATTTTCAGCATCTTTTCATGTGTATGTTGGCCATCTGTGTGTCTTCTTTGGAAAAATGTCTTTGCAGGTCCTCTGCCCAGTTTTTAATTGGGTTGTTTGGTTTTTTGATGTTGAGTTATATGAGTTCTTTGTATATTTTGGATATTAACCCCTTATCAGATATATCATTTGCAAATATCTTCTGCCATTCAGTAGGCAGCATTTTCATTTTGCTGGTAGTTTCCTTCACTGTGAAAAACCTTTTTAGTTTGATATAGTCCCATTTGTTTATTTTTGTTTCCCTTACCTGAGGAGACTGATCTCAAAAAATATTGCTAAGATTGATGTCAAAGAATGTATAGCCTATGTTTTCTTCTAGAAGTTTTATGGTTTCAGGTCTTAGTTTAAGTCTTTAATCCACTTTGCATTTATATAGGGTGTGAGAAAGTAGTCCAGTTTTTCCAACACTATTATTGAAGAGGCTTTATTTTCCCCATTGTATATTCTTGCCTCCTTTGTCATAGATCAATTGCCCATATAAGCATGGGTTCATCTCTGGGTCATCTATTCTGTTCCATTGATCTATGTGTCTGTTTTTGTGCCAGTATCATACTGTTTTGATTACTGTAGCTTTGTAGTATAGTTTGAAATCAGGGAGCATGGTACCTCTAGCTTTGTTCTTTGTTCTTAAGATTGTTTTGGCTATTCAAGGTCTTTTGTTTTTCCATCCAAATTTTAGAATTATTTGTTCTAGTTCCATGAAAAATGCCATTGATATTTTGATAGGGGTTGCATTTCATCTGTAGATTGCCTTGGGGAGTATGGTCTTTTTAATAATATTAATTCTTCCAATCCATAAGCATGGTATATCTTTCCAACTGTTTGTGTCATCTTCAGTGTCTTTCATTTATGTCTTATAGTTTACCAAGTACCTTTTACCTCCTTAGTTAGATTTATTCCTAGGTATTTTTTATGCAGTTGTAAATGGGACTGTTTTCTTAATTTCTCTTTCTGATAGTTCATTGTTAGCAATAAATTTCTGTGTATTAATTTTGTATCCTGAAACTTTACTAAATTCATTGAAGAGTTCTGGTAGTTTTTTGGGGGCATCTTTAGGATTTTCTATGTATAGTATCATGTCATCTGCAAACAGTGACAGTTTTACTTCTTCTTTTCTAATTCAGATTCCTTTTATTTCTTTTTCTTCTCTGATTGCTGTGGCTAGGGCTCCCAATACTATGCTAAATAAAAGTGGCAAGAATGGATCTTCTTAGAGGAAATGCTTTCTGATCTTAGAGGAAATGCTTTCAGCTTTTCACCATTGATTAAGAAGTTAGCTGTGGGCTTGTCATATATGGCCTTTATTATTTTTATCATAAATAGATGTTGAATCAATTGTCTTTTGTATTTTTTTAGCAGAAGCACAGTTTGTGATTCAACCAACAAATACAGAGTGACACATAAGAGAGATTCAAAAGAGATGCTCAGTTTTTATTTGAGATTTTTTTTCTATTTCCCCAAATATTAATGTATCATTTTTCCAAAAAGTCCTGTAGAAGCAAAATATATTGCTGATATTATTTCCTCCAAAAATTTACTGTGTTCTGTTAAAAGCAAAGTCCTAGAAAACAACTGAGGTCAGATGATTGATTTCTTAACCTCAAAAGTGTCTGACCCAAAGTTTATAGTCAGAGACAGGTTTTAAGCAGAGATAGCAATATTCAACTTGATTAACCACATCATTGACTGAAATTATTTTTTATTAGTTGCTTAAAAAATGTGTAGTATGTAGGGCTTCCCTGGTGGCGCAGTGGTTGAGAGTCCGCCTGCCAATGCAGGGGACGCGGGTTCGTGCCCCGGTCCGGGAAGATCCCACATGCCATGGAGCGGCTGGGCCCGTGAGCCATGGCCGCTGAGCCTGCGCGTCCGGAGCCTGTGCTCCGCAACGGGAGAGGCCACAACAGTGAGAGGCCCGCGTACCGCAAAAAAAAAAAAAAAAAAAAAAAAAAAAATGGTAGTATGTGAACATAGGAAGCTTCAAAAGGTATAAGAGGATATACTGTCTAAATGTCCCTCCTGTGACCCCCTGCCAGTCTTCTCTCAAAGGCAATCACTGTTATAAGTTTCTTGTGATATATTTTCAAAATATTCACAGCCTATGCAAGCATATATGTGTGTATGTATATTTATGTATGTTTGTATATGTGCTTGCATATAAACATACACAGTAACATGATTCAAAAAATAATCTTATACAGCCCTGGAAAGTTGGGTGGTCTCACAGTCAGATCCCCAGCTGCGGCAGGTGGAGCATCTTTTCCCAAGGCCGAGGGATGGCTCCAATCCTAGTGAGCTTGAGTGCTGGCTTTGTGGAGTACGCATTCCCAAACGGTTTTACTGCAGCTCACTGAGGCTGCAACCTATTCTCACTTCCCTATGGAAGAAGAACTCAGTGATAGTAAAGAACTGGAAAGGAGTGAAATAATGGCAATGGTACCCAATCTTAGTAGCCCCTTGTAACTCAGCGATTACCAGTAAAGCAGTCTTTATGGTAGGGGAACTAGTAAGTCCATGGACTTCTGGGGCATTCCCAAGTCAGAACGGAAGAAAGGTGGGGTAGTTTTGGATCCATTCTCTGCCTGCTGCGAGGATCGTCCTAAACCACATGAGCCATGGCTCACACTTGGAGAGCTGTCGTCTGCAATAAGGAGGCTGGAGGAGTGACTTGATGTCCTCTAGCTCCACAGAGGTGACTGTTGTGAGGGGGTTTGTGACAGTGGGATGAGACTGGATGACTCTGAGGAGAGATGGAGGGGACCATTTGTAAGTAGGCACCAGCGTTGGTTACTCTTTGGTTCTGCCACTTGGGGGATCTGAAGGCCTCCCTCTACTCCAGGAATCCCCCACTACCACCAGGATGCTTTCAGCCCAGAGACCATTTTTTTTTTTCACATCAAGGAGTTTGTTCGTTCATGCATTCATTCATTCATTCATTCATTCACTCCTTCATTCATCTGCCTGTCCATCCATCCATTGATTCATTTAATAAGATTTATAGAGGATCCTCTAGTCCAAGCACCGTGCAGATGCTGGGGATTCAGATGTGAGCCACACACACAGCCCTGTTGTCACTACTCTGACTGGGACTTTTTTTTTTTTTTTTTTTTGCGGTACGCGGGCCTCTCACTGTTGTGGCCTCTCCCATTGCGGAGCACAGGCTCCGGACGCGCAGGCTCAGCGGCCATGGCTCACGGGCCCAGCCGCTCCACGAACCTGCATCCCCTGCATCGGCAGGTGGACTCTCAACCACTGCGCCACCAGGGAAGTTCTGACTGGGACTATTAATGAAGGGATAGACAAGTCATAGGTGATTGGAGGATGGTGTGAGAAGTGCTGTGATGGCAGAGATACTGAGGGCACAGAAGACAGCGGGCCATAATCCTACTTGGGGTGGCCATGGCAGGGCTACCAGAGGCTATAGCCGAGTCTGGGGAGGATTCCAGCAGAGGGGACCAGAAGAGGCTCAGTGGTGAGAGAGAGCTGGCCTGTTAGGAGGAATGAATGGCAGGCCAATATACTGCCCACAGTGTCAAGTGTAAGAGGAGGCTCAGAGCAGTGCAAGGAGAGAGCATGTGGGTCCTGGCAGGCCAGGGAAGGGTATGGACTTGACCTTGGGAAGTGGGGAGCCATTGAGGATTCATGAGGAAAGACTCTGTCTACTGTTTTTGTGTTCCAAAAGCCAAGGTGATAGCCAGTAGCTCTGCACTATTTTTGCCATCTTTGGGCCTCACAGCAGAGCAGGCCATAGCTAGGGTTAAGTAGGCACCAGTGTTGGTTACTCTTTGGTTCTGCCACTCGGGGGATCTGAAGGCCTCCCTCCACTCCAGAAATCCCCCACTACCACAACCACCACCAGGATGCTTTCAGCCCCAGAGACCATTCTTTTTTCACATCAAGGAGTTCGTTCGTTCATGCATTCATGAACTCTGGCTGCCTGAAGTGGCCCACGGCTCCTGCACGGCCCAGTGCTATGGGAGAGGAGGGTCACATTCCAAGCTGCGTCCTGCCTGGCTTGCCTCGCCTTGCAGAGCCAAACCCCGGTGCACATGGGAGCCTCTCTGTGCACCCGGCATGGAATTTTCCTCTCAGAGGCTGACCCAGTTCCTTGCTGCTATTCAGTCACCCTGGCTGAGCCTGTGGAATTCCATAAAGGTTAGACATTAGAGAGGAGTCCTAATGTTACAAGGAGCCTTCCTGCCCCCTACCTGAATTGCACCAGGGTTAGGCTGGGCCACTTGCTCACCTCTGGGGATCTTAAGCTCCCTTCCCTGGGGCCAAGGCTCCCTCACCCCCCAAGGTACACTGAGGGCCTTCTCTCTCCTTCCTGACAAAGCTGCATGTCCCAGGCTGCCACGAGTGCCATGGTGCAGGCTCCTCTCCTGAAGGGATGTCTGTCACCTGATGTCCTGGCCCATGACAGTGGCCTGCACCTACCCTGACATCACAGTGTCCAACAACTAAGAAAATTGGGGACATGTAAGGGATTTCTACCTTCTGAAAATTATAGTACCAGGTCTAGTCCATAAACAGTAAATTATACAGGCATCAATAAATAAGTTTACATCTTACACCTGACAGTTCTCAGGTCATTCACACTTTGGTAGTGATTTGCCTTCAGACACGTGATCTCTTCCCAGAGAAGACATTTAATGACAGCTCCTCCCCATTCCACCCCTCACCAAGGCCTTTATTTATTCTCATCATGTTCTAGGTTATGCTGTAGTTACTCCTGAATGGGGCTTATCTTCCCTAGTAGGTTATCAACTTCCCAAGGGCTGGAACCACACCACAGAGATCAGTGTCTACCCAGCACCAGGCAGGAAGATTCAGGGTGGAAGGAAAGCATCTTACCATATTCCCTAGGGGTGAAGACAAATACAGTCTTCTTGTACTAAAGGCCGGGTTTAGGCCACTGGTACTAACACACCTCAGCACTAATGAGCGAAGTGGAGTGCTTACTCTGTATGAAGTGGTGACTGCTGATAATAAGGATGGTGGTGTGATTGTCAACAGTTAAGGAGTGCTTTACTGCTGGACAGGCACTGTGAAAATGCCTTTAAAAGCAACGTCTCATCTATTCCCTCAAAAACTGTAGGAGGTCAATGGTATTATCACCCCCATCTGACAGTTGGGAAAATTGACTTCTAGAGACTTTGCTATTTTCCCAAGTAACACAGCTACTAACTGGCAAACTGTACCTGGACTCCAGGTGTGTCACCTTGAGCAGGGCCTGAGTTCCCCCTACCCTGCCCCTCTGGGGACATCCTGTGAAGCACCTGTCACAGTTGTTGGTCATGGCCGGGTGCTCTACCACTGCAAAGCGTGTGGAGCTCTAACTTGCAGAGTCCCGAGAACCGAGCATGTGTGCGCATGCTCACGAGAGTGCAACAATTAAGCAGAGTGTATGTGGTGTTCGCGGGACTCACCTGTGGGAGCATAGTATGTAGCGCATGCGTACCGGGCCTGCGAAGGAACGCGCCTTCAGAAGTGACGTGGCTGAGGGCGGGGGCGTGGCTGGGGTGTGTGTGTGCTGAGCGGGGAGGGTCTCCACCTTCCCAGTCCTTTGGGCTCTGTCGGGTCCAGCCTGGGACAGGGGGCTGCGTGGGTGGGCAGCAGCGCCGGCCCTGGCTCTGCCCTCGGTGGCAGCCCTGCGGAAGGTGCAGGTCAGTGCCCTGTGATAACGCCGCCTCCTGCCAAAGGTGTTTTTCAGAGGCATCACGGTCAATGCCGTGCGGGGCTTCCCCATGAGTGCGGCCATGTTCCTTGGGTACGAGCTCTCGCTGCAGGCGATCCGCGGGGACCACGTGGCGACCAGCCCCTGAGCGCAAGGTCAGTGCACCTCTTTCCCAGCCGCTTGTGCCCTCCTGGAGCTTAAAACTTTGTTCTTTGAGGTGAAAATGGTGTGGCCTTCTGAAATATCCCTCTGTCATTTGTTTCCTGTTTAATCTGTGTTAATTCTGGGCTAGAATTGCCACCCTTCTTGTCATCAAAAAGCCCTTCTGAAATGCCCACCTGTGGCTGATGGTGAGCTGGACGCTCAGTAACTGAGGTCGACACAGAACTTACCTGTTTATAGTGAGCTCACCTATCTTGTTTCCCATTCAGTAGCTTCAACAGCCCTTGAAGAGACGCGTGTTTAGCTTCACTGTACAATTTAAATAACCCAGGCTCAAGACTGAGGACTTGAACCAGGGTACCCACAGCCTGTTACACAGGCAGCATCTCCCCACCTCCCTACTGAACTCAGTCTAGGTCTGAGGACAGGCTCCCAGAGCTCTAGAGGACAGCCTCTGCTATACCATCCCTGCCTCCCTCACCCTCTCCTTTTCCTGTTCTCATTGTAGAAAGATCACTGCAGCCAAAGGGATCTAAAAACAGAAATCTGAACAAGTGACTCCCTTGCTCCAGTGTCCTCAATGGCTTCCCATTGCCCTCTAGGTTATGTTTCAGTCCTTAACAGCCTCGTTCTCACCAGCATCTTAAACATACCATCCTCACTCTCGCCTCTGGGTCTTTGTGCATGCCACCCTTGCCTGACACCGTCTTTTCAGGCCTTCCTCTTGTTTTTGGCCTCACCAACTCCTCTTTGTTGTCCAAGCCTTGGTGTAGAGGTCTCCTCCTCCAGGAAGCCTGCCCTGATGTCTCAGCCAGGAGGATGTGCGCCTGCTATAGGCTCTGCTGTGTCCCTACCACATGCCCTCGCATTATAACTGCCTGCCAACTTTCCTCACTCCCCAGCCAGCACGAAGGTCCCAGGAGAGCTGTAACTATGTTTTCACCTCTGTATCTCTAGTGGTTCTCACGAAGCCTGGCACACAAATGGCCACTCAGAAACACCGTTGAGTAGACGGATGATCAACTTCCAATATCCCCTCAATTCCTCCCCTTCTTTTCCTCCCCGGTTTCTCCTTCTCTAGCCCCAAACTAGTTGTGTGCAGAGCTCAGAAGACAAAGTGGGATGAGTCACTGAATTTTCTAGAAAACAAGAGACCATTTTGCTTCAGTCGTGGTGACTGCAAATTCTCTCAGAAAGGATTGTCTTCATTAGGAAGGTCTAGCCAGCCTCCCTGTTGACTGCCCTGGGGCATCAGAGTCTGGCTAGGATGCATGGATGGGGCCAGACCCTAGAGCCAAGGGAAGGATGGATGAGAATGAGCCCAGGCCCAGCCCTGGACGCTGGCTTTAAATCCCATGCTTGAGCTTTTCACTAAAGCACCTATATCCGCAGCTTTTGCTGGCGTTTTGCCCTCTCTTACTAAAGGAAAAGGGCAGCAACACATTTTGCATAATTAAATATCCTGGGTAAAGAGTCACTGAACTTGGGTTATGTCCAAGACAGGGAAGAGAAGTCTGGTTCTTAAAGCTGTGCTCAGATACTGGCCACATCCCCCTTTTAACAGATGAAAGTGACTTTAAAACAATCCTATCATAAAATCAATGCATTTTTATTGTAGGAAAAAATAGAAAATACAAATAAACAGAAAGAACAAAATAAAAATACCTGTAATCTCATGACCTTGTTAATATTCTTCCAACTTTTTTATCCCCCAAATGGGATCCAACTTTACTCAGTATTTTATAACTCACTCCTCCCATTTACTAGTTCAGGACCATTTTTCCATGTCATTAAATCTTCAGCCGCAAAGCGGGTTTAATGCCAAGCCTTCACAGATCCCAGAGTCACTGGACGCTTGCCTGAGCCGTGGCACCCTGCCACTTGTGGCCACCCTGGTGATTGGCTGCTTCAGGAGGGAAGAAGGCGTTGCTAGCAAGCCCCATCCTGATTGTCCTGGATTTGACCTTTCAGAGCAGTGCCCCAACTGGAAGCTTTTCCTTCTGAAAGCGCTCTGATAGGACAAGGGGCACAGCTGTCTGTGTGCCTTTTCTTTGCTGGGGTGGCAAGGGGGCTGGTGCCTCTCAGGTGGAGGAGGGCGTTCCCAGTGACTCTTCCGGAGCCTCGTCTTGAGCAAGCCTCACCCAAGGAGTTCAACTTCCTCCTCTAATCCAAGAACACCAAAGCCCTTTAATGAGTCCTGGATCTGAATTTATCAAGTCGCGTTGAGGTCTCGGGCAGGTCATGCCCCAGGCAGCAGTAAAACCCACTCTTTGAAGACAAGGCAGCCAGTGCCCGCCTTGTAACCTAGACTGAGGACAGAGTGGGATGAGGTAGTTAGAGAATTAGGGAGCCTAAAAAGTGGTGGGACGCTGTCTATCGCGATTCCTGGGCACAGGTGGTGGGAACGGCGTGGAATTGTTTCCAGGTGCCTGCAGGGAATAGAGTCCAGCCCCAAACAGCTCCAGCCCCCTTCCAACCACCGGATACAGAGCCCTCCCCCGCCCCCCCCCCCCCCGCTCCCACGAAGTCCTGGGAAGGAAGAGCACTTCCCTCTCACTCATCCACTCAGTTATCTCGCTCCCAGATCACACATATGAGTGACCCAAGGATCATTTGAAGCCCAGTAAATACCGCACAAGGTGGTGGTTTTGTGTTGTGGTTAGTTTTGTCTGTTCACATGGAGAAACCAGGATCAGACTGTACGAGGAAGATGACCTTTGGTGGTAGAAGTGGGGTCCCAGCCACTGCTCAGTGGTCAGCGCTTGTGAATCCAAGCACTGACCTGAATTCTCAGGTCCGAGGCCTGTGAATCCAACTGCACCATCCCTACCGGCCCGCCAGCATCCCCTGCCCCCAGAAATTTCCTGGAATGATGCTGGCCCGCCCTCTGCTGTGATATTCAAACTTCATTGGCCCACTTTCAACTTCAGGAAAATTCATGTTTCAAGGCAGGAAGATACATGTTTTCCTACAATATCTTTTATCGAACTTGTACAGATAACCCCGGACAACCTCATAGCCTTTCCCCAGTCTGTTCTCATGGCGATACTTTGCCCAGTGTTGCTTCACTAAAACAGTTTTCAGATGGATTGACTCCTGGATCTCGCTGACTGATAACCCCAGTTAGATGAAAGTCTTACCTTTCCTCTTTCTTCCCAGAGCCAGCATCACCTGACCAGGGCCTCATTCTGCTACAGCTGATACTGATGGCGGCATCTCTAGAACCTGCGGTAGCGAATTTACTGAAGAGAAAGAACGCCTCCCCGCCGACCCTCAGCCAACCGGTCTCACCTCCGGAATCCCTGCTTTCCCAGTTGCAAGCACTCTTCCTCACCTCTGGGCTGGGGCTGCTGAGCTGCTGCCTTGGAAGGACCTTTGATTCATGACCATCTATTGCAGATCCTCACTGACACCTGATATCAAGCAGGATCAAATGGACCCTGCCCCCAAGACTGCTGTAAACTCACTGGGAATTCACAGAGGAGCTGGAGTTGTCTCGAAGCTCCCAAATAAAAACATTTCTGTATCAGATGCTTCCGCCTGGCTTCCAAGAGACTGACCACCCTCATTCTTCCCTCTGCTTAGACCCCTGTGGATGTCACCGGCCCAGAGGGGCGCCCGCTCGACACAGGTGAGGAGAGGAACTCAGATGGCGAGCTCGCTTCTTTTTCCCCAGCTGCCTCAGGTGGGCAGGGCGGCGGGGAAGCCTTGTAGCAGGTTTCTCTTCCCCGGACAGTGACATGCGCGGCTGCAACATCTCCGGGATGGCGGCGTTGAGCGCAGGTCGGGTGGGCGTTCTCTGGGCCTTATTTTCACATGGAGGACAAAACAGAACAAAATGAGCTCTTTGTCTGCAGTCTGATTTCCATTATGATGTCATTAATCTAAATTTTACTTCTCCCTGGGACCAGTGGGGAGGCCACTGCTCTTTTGCTGTTATGTGTCCATGATGTCACTGCCACTTCCACGCCCCCAAGAGCGTCCCTAATCAGTCATACAGCCCCTTCCTCGTGAGCTGAATGCAGCTCCCGAATCCTCCTCAACACAGGGCCCTGGGAAGCCGCCACCAGCCAGCGTGATGCATCTATTCCTGGCTTAAATCCTGGTGGGGAAAATATCCTTAGATTTCCCCCCCCCACCACCCCTTTTTTCCCCCTTGAAAGGGTCTTCCTTGATTTTTCCACTGTCTCCCATCCCCCTTGAGTGATTTGGAGAATGTCTCTGAAAATCCCCTCCCCCAGCAGACCCAGCACCAACACAAAGCATGGCTCTGGCACCGAGTTGAAAGTGTTCAGTCTCCTCAGCTTATGCTGTTACTGTAGCAAAGGGTTCCCTGCTTGAAATAAAACCCTCAGTGTGGTCTCCTTGATTTTTCTCCTTTACTATCCCTGGCACTGCGGGGTCCCCGGGCAGCTCTGTAGGCTGTGGTCTGAACTCTTCACCCCGCTAGCAGCAGGATGTTTGCTCATTCCTTCGGTCATCAAACATTTTTGAGCATTTATGACATGCAGACGCTGTCCTTGATGTTGGGGACAGCCATGAAGGGCCCCTGTGGTACTTCCATTCTGGCGTGTTAGAGACGGTTCTGTTTACATGAGAGATGGGTCTGCATGCATCGCTGGGCCCGGCGGGCACTATGGATGCTGGTGAAGAGAGGCTGACTAGCATCTGGTTCATTCCCGGGGGAACCTGAGATGTTTTGTATAGCACAACCCAGAACATGTTTCTTAAGTCCTCCTCAGCTAGACCATTTCCTGGCGCTGCTGCTGGTTGCCAGTTTGTTCAGAAGAGTGTTGTATTCACGAGGCCAGGTGGGGTCTTCTGCTGGGTGCTCCTGATGAGCTGAGATCCACAACAACCTTCTGCAGGTGTCAGAACCTGTCCCAGTTTCTTTTGATCATCTTGGCTCCTCTGCGTGATTTAAGGAGGTAAGTTAACATGGAAATACGATGCTGGCCGTATATTAAGTGCAAAAATGAAGTGGAAGGGTAAAATGTGTGCTGTTACTCCTTTAAAAATATACATGTTGGGGCTTCCCTGGTGGCGCAGTGGTTAAGAATCCGCCTGCCAATGCAGGGGACACGGGTTCGAGCCCTGGCCCGGGAAGACCCCACATGCCGCGGAGCAACTAAACCTGTGCGCCACAACTACTGAGCCTGCATGCCACAACTACTGAGCCCGTGAGCCACAACTACTGAAGCCCGCATGCCTAGAGCCCATGCTCTGCAACAAGAGAAGGCACCGTGAAGCGCACACACTGCAACGAAGTGTAGCCCCCTCTCGCCGCAACTAAAGAAAGCCCGTGCACAGCAATACAACACAGCCAAAAATAAAAATAAATTAATTTTTAAAATATATATATGTTATATAAATATATTCTAATTATGCATAATTATATTGAAAAGAAAAGAATTATATTGAAAAGAATCTGGAAGGATACACACCAAACTTAATAGTGGCTATTTTGGGAATATGGAATTGGGGGAAGGCTTTCAATTTCTACTTTGATGATGATGGTGATTTCTCTGTGCACCACTATAGTGTTTCAATCTTTTATAGTGAGCATATATTGATTTTATAATTTTTAAAAATAAAGCCACATCTATTTGCAGAGCTGGGTTCCATGCTGGGCACTTATTTCTCGGGCTCCCGCTGGCTCAGCTGCACAGGCCAACTTCAGGCTCTAAGTAACAGCCCTTCCTCTGCCTGCCCTGCCCACCCCCGTGCCAGTTACACACAGCCTGCAGCACACTTTCTGCACACACACACACACACACACAGGAACACCTGGACAGCAAAAGGATGGGCCTCAACCTTAATGAAGGCACTCGACCCCAACCCAGACAAACCTCATGTGTAGCCAGTACTGGGAGGGGTCAACCAGCAATGGCCCCACTTCCTGTTAGATTCTCCTGGAGGAGATAATCTTGTGGAATAATTGGGACCAACAGTTTGGGGGTTTTCCTTAGTCCACACGTCATACACTCAACCCAAAAGATGTGTGTTGAATCTGACTCTGTATCAGGTGCTTGTGCTAGGCATGCTGGGTGACCATGGGAACCTTAGTACAGGCTGATCTGTGTCATCATCAGGAATACGTTTACAGATGGAATTCCATTTGTTTTTCTTTTTTTTTTTGGCTGAGCCTTGCGGCAGGTGGGATCTTAGTTCCCCGACTAGGGATCAAACCTGTGCCCCCTGCATTGGGACTGCAGAGTCTTAACCACTGGACTGCCAGGGAAGTCCCAGAATTCCATTTTTCAGAGCGGCTGAAGACAGAACAGAATTTCACGCTAAGCACCAGGTTTGGTGCCTGTATCCTGGTCTTGGAGAACTTCAGACTTGCCCTTTTGCCTTTCTGGGGACGGCAAAAAGAATACCAATAACCATTATTCTACAGCAGAGGCTCTCCACAGCAGTCCTTTCACTCTGTAAAATTACGGAGGGCCGCGAGGAATTTTTGTTTATGTAGATTATAACATTTACAGAAATTAAAACAGAAGTTTTACAATGTTGTGTTAGTTTCAGGTGTACAGCAAAGTGAATCAGTTATATGAATACATATATCCACTCTTTTAGATTCTTTTTCCATATAGGTCATTACAGAGTATTGAGTTCCCTGTGCTATACAATAGGTCCTTATTAGTTATCAATTTTATATATAGTAGTGTGTAGATGTCAATCCCTAGCTGCCAATTTATTCCTCCCCCCCTTCCCCCCGGTAACCATAAGTTTGTTTTCTACGTCTGTAACTCTAATTCTCTTTTGTAAATAAGTTCATTTGTACTATTTTTTTAGATTCCACATATAAGTGATATCATATGATATTTGTCTTTCTCTGTCTGACTTATCAGTACTTCACTCAGTATTACAATCTCTAGGTCCATCCATGTTGCTGCAGATGGCATTATTTCGTTCTTTTTTGTGGCTGAGTAATCTTCCAGTGTATGTATGTACCACATCTTCTTTATGCACTCCTCTGTCAATGGACATTTAGATTGCTTCCATGTCTTGGCTATTGTAAACAGCACTGCAGTTGGGATGCATGTATCCTTTTGAACCATGTTTTTTTTCCAGATATATTCCCAGAAATGGGATTACTGGATCATATGGTAGCTCTAGTTTTAGTTTTTTAAGGAACCTCCATGCTGTTCTCCATAGTGGTTGTACCAATTTACATTCCCACCAACGATGCAGGAGGGTCCCCTTTTCTCCACACCCTCTCCAGCATTTATTGTTTGTAGACTTTCTGAAGATGGCCATTCTGACTGGTGTGAGGTGATACCTCATTGTAGTTTTGATTTGCATTTCTCTGATAATTAGTAATGTTAAGCACCTTTTAGCCATCTAAAAACTGAGAATTTTTAAAGTATTTGTTTAAAGTATAATAAGCCCATTACATTTTAGCACACATATTTTAATGAAAACAGTTATTCTTTCCAAACAAAAATAAATAATGAGAAAAGTTGCACTGTTTTACAGTTTTGCAAATCTCCTAATGTCTGGCTTAAACAGAGGACAGTTGGATTCCCATATTTGCTTCTGCTTTCGGTCGGCTGCGATATCCCTTGCCATGTAGTTTTCTGAAAACTCCATTGTTAGCTTGTGATAATGTGAGGATAAAAAAGGCAGATAATCTCGGTGTCATATGAAAATAGTTTTGAGCACGGGTCTCCCTTTGAGAACTCCTGCTCTACAAAACAAAATCAGTCACCCAAAAGCGCTCTCGGCTGATGAACTGTAGAATAGCCACTAGGTGGCAGCAGAGGTCAACTAAATGCACCGCAGGTCGGGGCTTCTGTTACCTAGTGACATTGGTTTCAGTGGTTAGAGCATCTGGGCCCCATGACACTTCTCTTCCTGTTTTTTGGGGTCTCATCATCTTCGTTGTTGTCATTGTTCTTTTACTTCTCTGTGGTGGAACTAACTTCAGACCAGGGAAACCTTGCCTTGGGTTCCAGCTCTGGGTCTGTAATCAGCTACCTGCATGAACTTGGCAAGATTTGGCCCTCCTGGACCTCAGTTTCCTCATCTGTAAAGTGGCCACACTGGGTGGACCTCCCTTACCTATCTTCCAGGGATTCAGTAAGACTATTGCTAAAGTGGTTTTCTAAACTGTGAAGTGCTAAACATAGGGGTCAGAGGAACGTGGTGGAGGTTGGGTACTCTGTGATTTTTCCTGTTTCAGTTTCAGGCTGTCTTCCTCTCTCTGAGTCTGGGTTGTTGGCGTTTTTCATGGGGTGACACAGAGTGGCTGCATCAGTGGTCCCTGAGCCTTGTCTCTGCCTCTAAAACTCTGACTTCTACAGATGCTTGGCTCCTAGGCCTCTGGACCCCCAAGTAGACCTCCGATATGCATGCTTGTGGGGGGTGGATGCAGATGCTGATGTGACCTTTCTGATGCCCAGGATATCTGTCGAGTCATTGATTCAAGTCCTCCAGGGTTCTGACTCCCAGTGCCTCTCTCTGACAGGCTGATATCAATGAAGTTTCCAGGAAACATTTGGTCAAGCAGAGGAGTCCAACCCGTGAGCACCTGGGAGCCAGAAAAACCATCCAGAGAATGTCTGCTTTTTCTGGCTGCTGGTGGAGAGTGGGGAGAGGCCAGCGTGCTCTGGGCCCAGTCACCCTCACCAGTCACAGGACCCACCCCTAACTGCCTTGTGCTGGGTGTCACTCCCCTCCACACCTGTAGATTATGAAGATACCACTGTGGCTTACTCACCGCTGTGCCAAGCCCAGCACCTGGCACTCCTTGCGTGCTTTACTGGTGTTTGTTGATTGACTCGGCCACATCCTCAAGTGTACAAAAAATAAAAGAAGCTTGCTTTTTTTTTTTAATTTAGTTTTTTTCAAGCTTCCATTCTACCTGGTGGCAAAAAAAGTAATTTTGCCATTTCAGATGTAAAACTCAGAAATTCCAAGTTAAATACAGCCAGTTCAGGATTTTCTCCTTCTTCGCCCTCTCCTGGGGTGACTTTAGATTCTCAGGGTTTGGGGTATAGGGAGAGGCGTCTTGCTCTTGGGAGATGCTCCATCCTGTGCTAGCATTCTTCCTGTCTAGTCCTGGGGCATGGCCTTCCCTCCATGGTGGCTTCTGTGGAAGCATCTTCATTCCCATCTGGTCCTGGCCATATGGTTCCTGTCTGCCATATCTGCCAACCCCAAGGCCCCTCTGGCCTTACCGTGCTCCATGACACATCCATGCCCCTCTCTGTCCTATGGGAAAAGCCTTGCCTTCCACACTGGAACTACTCAAGGGCCTGCATCAGGCCCACCTGCCTGGGGCTCCCTATGCCACACCATGTAATGGGAGGCAGGAGACAATTTCTTTTCCGATTGTCATCTCCCAGGGTACACAGGACATGTGGCTCAGGAGCCCTCCCTTCTCAGGTCCTCAAGCCTCCGTGGAGTTCTGCCACCACCACTCCAAGCTCAGCTGGGGGAGAAGCACTCACCAGTGTCTGCTATCATCTTCTCTAACTTCTCTTCCATGGTCCATATGATATTACTTCCTCCCCCTAGAGCTAGGAGCTCTACCTTTGGAAATTCAAAAGCCAAGAATTAACATCTATATTAATAAGTAAAGGACAGTCACCTCAGTCAATGCAGAAAATGCATTTGACAAACTCCAGTACTTGTTCATGATAAAAACACTCAATGAACTGAGAACAGAAGAGAGCTTCCTCAACCTGATACAGGGCATCTACAAAAAGTCCACAGCCAACATCAAACTTACAGTGAAAGGATAGGTGCTTTCCTACTAAGATCAGGAACAAGACTCTGACCACTTCTATCCAACATTGCACTGGATGTTGTAGCCAAGGTAATTAGGCAAGAAAATGAAATATAAGGCATCCACATTGGAAAGGAGAGCTAAGCTACTTCTATTTACAGATGATATGATCTGGTATATAGAAAATCCTAAGGAATCCACTAAAACCTATTAGAACAAATAAACAAGTTCAGCAAGGTTTCAGGATATAAGATCAAGCTACAAAAATCAATTGTATTTCTATATCTTAGCAATGAACATACCAGAAATGAAATTAAGAAAATAATTCTGTTTACAATAGTATTTGAATAATGAAATATTTAGGCACATTTTAATAAAAGTACAGGATTTTTACACTAAAAACTACAAAACCTTACTGAAAGAAATTTTAAAAGATCTAAATAAATAGAAAGATACTCTAGGTCATGGATCAGAAGACTAAATATTGTTAAGATAGCAGTACTTGCCAAATTGACATACAGATTTAATGAAATCTCTCTCAAAATCCCGGATAGCTTTAAAAAAAAAAAAACAAACAAAACTGAAACGCTAATCTTAAAACTCATATGGAAATGCAAAGGACCCAGAGTAGCCAAAGCAATCTTGATATGGAAGAGTCAACTTGGAGGACTCACTCTTGCCTATGACAAGGTTACAGTGATCAAGATAGCATGGTGCTGGCATAAGGATAGACTCGTAGAGCAACGGGATAAAATTGAGAGTCCAGAAATAAACCCTTATATTCATGGTCAATTGGTTTTTGATGTGGGTGCCAAGATAATTCAATGGAGAAAGAATAGTCTTTTCAACAAATGGTGTTGGGACAACTGAGTATCCACATGCCAGAAGAGTGAAGTTGGAACCTTATCTCACACCATATATGAAAATTAACCCAAGATGGATCATAGACCTAGATGTAAGAGGTAAAACTATGAAACTCATAGAAGAAAACAAACAAATAAATCTTGTGACCTTGAGTTAGGCAAAGATTTCTTAGAATACCAAAAGTGTAAGTGACAAAATAGAAAATAGACAAATTGGATGATAACTTAAAACTTTTGTGCTACCAATACCATGAAGAAAAGGAAAAAGACAACCCACAAAATGGGAGAAAATATTTACAAATCTTATATCAAATAAGGGACTTTTATCCAGAAGTACAAAGAACTCTTACAACTCAACTATAAAAAGACAAATAACTGAATTTAAAAATGGGCAAAGGCAGGACAGACAGCAGAAGCAAGAAGAACTACAATCCTGCAGCCTGTTGAACAAAAACCACATTCACAGAAAGCGAGACAAGATGAAAAGGCAGAGGGCTATGTACCAGATGAAGGAACAGGATAAAACCCCAGAAAAACAACTAAATGAAGTGGAGATGGGCAACCTTCCAGAAAAGGAATTCAGAATAATGATAGTGAAGATGATCCAGTACCTTAGAAAAAGAATGGAGGCAAAGATCGAGAAGATGCAAGAAATGTTTAACAAAGACCTAGAAGAATTAAAGAACAAACAAACAGGGCTTCCCTGGTGGCACAGTGGTTGGGAGTCCACCTGCCGACGCGGGGGACGCGGGTCCATGCCCCGGTCCGGGAGGATCCCGCATGCCACGGAGTGGCTGGGCCCGTGAGCCAAGGCCTCTGGGCCTGCGCGTCTGGAGCCTGTGCTCCGCGGTGGGAGAGGCCACAGCGGTGAGAGGCCCGCGTACCACAAAAAAAATAAAAAGAACAAACAGAGATGAACAATACAATAACTGAAATGAAAACTACACTAGAAGGAATCAATAGCAGAATAACTGAGGCAGAAGAACGGATAAGTGACCTGGAAGACAGAATGGTGGAATTCACTGCTGCGGTACAGAATAAAGAAAAAAGAATGAAAGGAAATGAAGACAGCCTAAGAGACCTCTGGGACATTAAACACAGCAACATTCGCATTATAGGGGTCCCAGAAGGAGAAGAGAGAAAGGACCCAAGAAAATATTTGAAGAGATTATAGTCGAAAACTTCCCTAACATGGGAAAGGAAATAGCCACCCAAGTCCAGGAAGCGCAGAGTCCCACACAGGATAAACCCAAGGAGAAACATGCTGAGACACATAGTAATCAAATAGGCAAAGATTAAAGACAAAGAAAAATTATTAAAAGCAGCAAGGGAAAAACGACAAATAACATACAAGGGAATCCCCATAAGGTTAACAGCTGATTTCTCAGCAGAAACTCTACAAGCCAGAAGGGAGTGGCATGATATACTTAAAGGGATGAAAGGGAAGAGCCTACAACCAAGATTACTCTACCTGACAAGGATCTCATTCAGATTCGATGGAGAAATCAAAAGCTTTACAGACAAGCAAAAGCTAAGAGAATTCATCACCACCAAACCAGCTCTACAACAGATGCTACAAGGAGCTTCTCTAAGTGGGAAACACAAGAGAAGAAAAGGACCTACAAAAACAAACCCAAAACAATTAAGAAAATGGTCATAGGAACATACATATAGATAATTACCTTAAATGTGAATGGATTAAGTGCTCCAACCAAAAGACACAGGCTTGCTGAATGGATACAAAAACAAGACCCATATATATGGTGTCTACAAGAGACCCACTTCAGACCTAGGGACACATACAGACTGAAAGTGAGGGGATGGAAAAAGATATTCCATGAAAATGGAAATTGAAAGAAAGCTGGAGTAGCAATACTCATATCAGATAAAATAGACTTTAAAGAATGTTACAAGAGACAAGGAAGGACACTACGTAACGATCAAGGGATCAATCCAAGAAGAAGATATAACAATTATAAATATATATGCACCCAATATAGGAGTACCTCAATACATAAGGCAACTGCTAACAGCTATAAAACAGGAAATCGACAGTAACACAATAATAGTGGGGGACTTTAACACCTCACTTACACCAATGGACAGATCATCCAAAATGAAAATAAATAAGGAAACAGAAGCTTTAAATGACACAATAGACCAGATAGATTTAATTGATATTTATAGGACATTCCATCCCAAAACAGCGGATTACACTTTCTTCTCAAGTGTGCATGGAATATTCTCCAGGATAGATCACATCTTGGGTCACAAATCAAGCCTCAGTAAATTTAAGAAAATTGAAATCATATCAAGCATCTTTTCTGACCACAACACTATGAGATTAGAAATGAATTACAGGGAAAAAAACATAAAAAACACAAACACATGGAGGCTAATCAGTACGTTACTAAATAGACAAGAGATCACTGAAGAAATCAAAGAGGAAATCAAAAAACACCTAGAGACAAATGACTACAAAAACACGACGATCCAAAACCTATGGGATGCAGCAAAAGCAGTTCTAAGAGGGAAGTTTATAGCTATACAAGCCTACCTCAAGAAACAAGAAAAGTCTCAAATAAACAATCTAACCTTACACCTAAAGGAACTAGAGAAAGAAGAACAAAGAAAACTCAAAGTTAGCAGAAGGAAAGAAATCATAAAAATCAGAGCAGAAATAAATGAAATAGCAACAAAGAAAACAATAGCAAAGATCAATAAAGCTAAAAGCTGGGTCTTTGAGAAGATAAACAAAATTGATAAATAATTAGCCAGACTCATCAAGAAAAAGAGGGAGGCAAGGGGTAGGGGAGGCGGGCAAGATGGCTTCTGGCGAGTGATTCTGCCCGAATACCTCCGGCGACCGCTGAGACACCGGGACGGGGGGTGCTGCCCCCACTGCTGCCCTTCTTCCTCTCCCCCGCCCCCAGAGACCCCCCTCCTTCCCTTCCTCCTTCTACTTCGGTGGGGAGGGAGGGGAGGTGGGCCTGGTTCCTGGGACACCATGTCGGACTCAGAGGAGGAGAGCCAGGACCGGCAACTGAAAATCGTCGTGCTGGGGGACGGCACCTCCGGGAAGACCTCCTTAGCTACGTGTTTTGCTCAAGAAACTTTTGGGAAACAGTACAAACAAACTATAGGACTGGATTTCTTTTTGAGAAGAATAATGTTACCAGGAAACTTGAATGTTACTCTTCAAGTTTGGGACATAGGAGGGCAGACAATAGGAGGCAAGATGTTGGATAAATATATCTATGGAGCACAGGGAATCCTCTTGGTATATGATATTACAAATTATCAAAGCTTTGAGAATTTAGAAGATTGGTATTCTGTGGTGAAGAAAGTGAGTGAGGAGTCTGAAACTCAGCCACTGGTTGCCTTGGTGGGCAATAAAATTGATTTGGAGCATATGCGAACAGTAAAACCTGAAAAACACTTAAGGTTTTGCCAGGAAAATGGTTTTAGTAGCCACTTTGTCTCAGCAAAGACAGGAGACTCTGTCTTCCTGTGTTTTCAGAAAGTTGCTGCTGAAATCCTTGGAATCAAGTTAAACAAAGCAGAAATAGAACAGTCACAGAGGGTGGTGAAGGCAGATATTGTAAACTACAACCAGGAACCTATGTCAAGAACTGTTAACCCTCCTAGAAGCTCTGTGTGTGCAGTTCAGTGAGCACATTTTTCTTCTGTATTGATAGTTCTGGCTCCCCTTCGCCTCTGTGTGGGCTCAAGGACCTGTAGAAACTTGTTTTATCAGTGACCATCTCTGTAGTTCAGTTAACGCTTTCCTCTCAACTCACTTCATCATTGCCTGTTGCCTCAGCCGCAGGCAGCTCCTTGGACTGGAAAAAATTCAACTTTGGGACCACACACTTTGAATTCAAAATGGAAAGCCCGTTCTCTGGAATTAGACTGCTTCATTGAAAAAGAATAATGTTGGTTCTCTTTATGTCCTCACTTCTTTTTTCCCTGATGTAAGTTGTTTTAAACAAATATGAAAACTATCTAAGTCTTGATCATCAGCCAGGATTTTGCCACAGCACAGTTTCATACTCTTATCTGAACTCATACCTGGCGAAGTATGCTTCAGAGTACAAACATTTAAACGAGTAATATATTTTATCTACAGATACTTAAGAAAGCATTCTCTTGCTGTCTATTGTGAGTGAAAATATATAAAGCTGTATCTAACTGAAAATGCTTGAAATAAAGCTATAATAGAAATATTTTTTTCATTTTTTTAAAAAGAGCCTAAATACTTTATATTTTAGCTGTAGCTCACAAAGTAGTGAGTATTGGATATTGTATTTTTATTATTGTATCATGATCATTACGTGTTGTGTAATACTCAGGTTAGATGGCTTTGTGAATTCTGATAAATGTTCAGCTGATGCTCCATGTGGACTTTCTCCTGCCAGCTGTGTAAGAGTACTTCCAGAATGAATTATGACTATTGTTGGATCATCGTGGATCAGACTGTACCTGATGTTCAGATGTTTTTCTCCTGCAAATAAATTTATTTAAATTAAAAAAAAAAAAAAAAAGAGGGAGAGGATTCAAATCAGTAAAACTAGAAATGAAAAAGGAGAAGTTACAACAGACACTGCAGAAATACAAAGCATCCTAAGAGACTACTACAAGCAACTCTATGCCAATAAAATGGACAACCTGGAAGAAATGGACAAATTCTTAGAAAGGTATAACCTTCCAAGACTGAGCCAGGAAAAACAGAAAATATGAACAGACCAATCACAAGTAATGAAATTGAAACTGTGATTAAAAATCTTCCAACAAACAGAAGTCCAGGACCAGATGGCTTCACAGCTGAATTCTATCAAACATTTAGAGAAGAGCTAACACCCATCCTTCTCAAACTCTTCCAAAGAATTGCAGAGGAAGGAACACTCCCAAACTCATTCTATGAGGCCACCATCACCCTGATACCAAAACCATACAAAGATACTACAAAAAAATAAAATTACAGACCAATATCACAGATGCAAAAATCCTCAGCAAAATACTAGCAAACAGAATCCAACAACACCTTAAAAGGATCATACACCATGATCAAGTGGGGTTTATCCCAGGAATGCAAGGACTCTTCAATATACGCAAGTCAATCAATGTGATAAACCATATTAACAAATTGAAGGAGAAAAACCATATGATCATCTCAATAGTTGCAGAGAAAGCTGTCAACAAAATTCAACACCCATTTATGATAAAACCCTGCAGAAAGTGGGCATAGAAGGAACCTACCTCAACATAATAAAGGCCATATATGACAATCCCACAGCAAACATCATTCTCAATGGTAAAAAACTGAAAGCATTTCCTCTAAGATCAGGAAAAAGATAAGGATGTCTACTCTCACCACTATTATTCAACATAGTTTTAGAAGTCCTAGCCATGGCAATCAGAGAAGAAAAAGAAATAAAAGGAATACAAATTGGCAAAGAAGAAATAAAACTGTCACTGTTTGCAGATGACATGATACTATACAGGGAGAATCCTAAAGATGCCACCAGAAAACTACTAGAGCTCATCAATGAATTTGGCAAAGTTGCAGGATACAAAATTAATGCACAGAAATCTCTTGCATTCCTATACACTAATGATGAAAAATCTGAAAGAGAAATTAAGGAAACACTCCCATTTACCATTGCAACAAAAAGAATAAAATACCTAGGAATAAACCTACCTAGGGAGACAAAAGACCTGTATGCAGAAAGCTATAAGACACTGATGAGAGAAATTAAAGATGATACCAACAGATGGAGAGATATGCCATGTTCCTGGATTGGAAGAATCAGTATTGTGAAAATGATGATACTACCCACAGCAATCTACAGATTCAATGCAATCCCTATCAAATCACCAATGGCATTTTTTACAGAACTAGAACAAAAAATCTTAAAATTTGTATGGAGACAAAAAAGACCCCTAATAGCAAAAGCAGTCTTGAGGGGAAAAAACGGAGCTGGAGGAATCAGACTCCCTGACTTCAGACTATACTATAAAGGTACAGTAATCAAGACAATATGGTACTGGCACAAAAACAGAAACATAGATCAATGGAACAAGATAGAAAACCCAGAGATAAACCCACACACCTATGGTCAACTAATTTATGACAAAGGAGGCAAGGATATACAATGGAGAAAAGACAGTGTCTTCAATAAGTGGTGCTGGGAAAACTGGACAGCTATATGTAAAAGAATGAAATTAGAACACTCCCTAGCACCATACACAAAAATAAACTCAAAATGGATTAGAGACCTAAATGTAAGGCCAGACACTATAAAACTCTTAGTGGAAAACATAGGAAGAACACTCTTTGACATAAATCACAGCAAGATCTTTTTTGATTCACCCCCTAGAGTAATGGAAATAAAAACAAAAATAAACAAATGGGACCTAATGAAAGTTCAAAGCTTTGCACAGCAAAGGAAACCATAAAGAAGATGAAAAGACAACCCTCAGAATGGGAGAAAATATTTGCAAATGAATCAATGGACAAAGGATTAATCTCCAAAATATATAAACAGTTCATGAAGCTCAATATTAAAGAAACAAACAACCGAATCCAAAAATGGGCAGAAGACCTAAATAGACATTTCTCCAAAGAAGACACACAGATGGCCAAGAAACACATAAAAAGCTGCTCAACATCACTAGTTATTAGAGAAATGCAAATCAAAACTACAATGAGGTATCACCTCACACCAGTTAGAATGGGCATCATCAGAAAATCTACAAACAACAAATGCTGGAGAGGGTGTGGAGAAATGGGAATCTTCTTACACTGTTGGTGGGAATGTAAATTGGTACAGCCACTATGGAGAACAGTATGGAGGTTCCTTAAAAAACTAAAAATAGAACTACCATATGACCCAGCAATCATACTACTGGGCATATACCCACAGAAAAGCATAATTCAAAAAGACACATGCACCCCAATGTTCACTGCAGCACCATTTACAATAGCCAGGTCATGGAAGCAACCTAAATGCCCATCCACAGACGAATGGATAAAAAAGTTGTGGTACATATATACAATGGAATATTACTCAGCCATAAAAAGGAACGAAATTGGGTCATTTGTTGAGACGTGGATGGAGCTAGAGACTGTCATACAGAGTGAAGTAAGTCAGAAGGAGAAAAACAAATATCGTATATTAACGCATATATGTGGAACCTAGAAAAATGATACAGATGAACCGGTTTGCAAGGCCAAGGCAGAAGTTGAGACACAGATGTAGAGAACAAATGTATGGACACCAAGGGGGGAAAGCAGCGGGGGTGGGGGATGGTGGTGTGCTGAATTGGGTGATTGGGATTGACATGTATACACTGATGTGTATAAAATGGATGACTAATAAGCTGCTGTATAAAAAAATTAGATTAAAAAATTTAAAAAGAATGGGCAAAGGATTTGAATAGATATTTCTATACAAGTGGCCAATGAGCACATGAAAAGATGCATCACTAGTTATAAGGGAAGAGCAAATCAAAGCTACCACGAGAGACCACCTTATACCCACTAGGACGGCTATAATCAAAAGGACAGATAATAACAAATGATGACAAAGCAGTGGAGAAATTGGAACCCTCATACATTGCTGGGTAGAAATGTAAAATGGTGCAGCCACTTTCGAAAACAGCTTGGCAGCCCCTCAGAAGTTAAATATAGCATTACCTTATGACCTAGCAATTCTACTCATAGGTATATACCCAAGAGAAATGAAAACATGTTCACACAAAAAACCTTTAAATGAATGTTCATAGCAGCATTATTCATAATAGCCAAAGAGTGGAATCAACACAAGTGTCTATCAACTGATGAATGGATAAATAAAATGCCGTATATCCATGCAAAGAAATATTATTTGGCTATAAAAAGAAATGAAGTGGAACTTCCCTGGTGGTCAGTGGTTAAGACTCTATACTTCCACTGCATGGGACGTGGGTTCTATCCCTGGTGGGGGAACTAAGGTCTCACATGCAGCACGGCGTGGCCAAAATAATAATAATAAAATTAAAATTAAAAAAATAAAAAGAAATGAAGTACTGATACGTGCTAAAACATAATGAACCTTGAAAGCATCATGGAAAGTCAAAGATGCCAGTCCCAGAAGAACACGTCATATTCCAATTATAGGAAGAATCCAGAAGAGGTAAATTTATACAGTAGAGACAGAAAGTAGATTATTGGTTGATTAGGCTGGGGGAAGGGAGGATGGGGAATGGCTGCTAATGTGTACAGGGTTTCTTTTGTGGGTGATGAAAATGTTCTGAAGTCAGATTGTGGTGATGGTTGCACAGCCCTGTGAATATACTCAAATCCACTGAGCTGTACACTTTCAGTGGGTGAATGGTCTTTGCATTTCCGCTGAGCGCTCCCTTTGCAGAGGAAGAAAGGTGTTGGTCTGGGGTGAATGAGGAGGGGAGCAGGATAGGAAAGGAATTGCAGGGCTGAGACTGCACAGTATCCTCCTGCCTCAAATGGGATGGATGGGCAGAGAGGGAGAGACAGACAGACGGATGTGGACTGGTCAGCTTTCAGGCCAGAAGCATCTGGGCTTGGCTTTGGCCAGTGACAATGTGCCCTGCTCTGGCATCTCCTGGGCACAACTCTGCTGGGGGCCTGGCAACCTGGACAAGGCAGCCAGGTTGTTGAGACTGTCTGTGTTGAGAGCCGACACCCTCCTGTGGGTCAGATTTAAGAATGTAGCTCTAGAGTCAGTTACCTGAGCTGGAATCTTGGCTTGTCCACTTGTGAGCAGTTTGCCCCTGGCAAGTTATGTAACCATGTAAACTTTCTGGGCCTCGGTTTCCTCATCTGTGCACTAGGCATAATTACAGACAATAATTCTACACCGACCTCATGGGCTTGTTGTAAGGATCCAACTAGATATTGAACAAAACATCATTAACCGAGTGCCTGGTACACAGCAAACAATAAATGTTTGTCCTTCTTTTTCTCCTTTCTCCAAGGTGACTTCTAGATAAATCTCAACTCCTCCGGCACAGGAAGGAGAGCAATGACAGGGCACCTCATCACAGGCAGGCCCTGAGAATCCTGCTTTGAGCTGGCTGCAGGGGTGCATCCGGTGGGTAACGCCACCTTTGCAGAAAAGCCAAGGGAAACCGCCAAGCTCTGCTGGTGACTAAGCTGTGACAGTGGGTTGCAGCCTATCTCTCTGCCCATCTTCTCCGACAGCTGATTGCATCCCCAGGTTGTGTTGTGAAACCATCACCAACCACTAGCGTCTGTCCTTGTTGTGATGCCCGTGTGGGGTGAGCATTGCTGAGGGGGCTTCCAAGGCTGCAGGCTGTAACCATGTTGTATAATGTGGCACAGCTCTGCGTCTGGGGCCAGTCATTCAGAAAACCCAGATGGAGGAGAGGAGAGGAGAGGAGAGGAGAGGAGAAGGCCCTGCTGCCACAACCTGGATGCCACAGCGGGCTGTCCAGGGAGCCACAGAGGTCTCCGTCCCTCCTGGAGGTGCCCAGTGCAAAGAGAGG